ATTCCTAAAACTGAAGTTTATCATGACCGGTTAAAGCCTGTAAAAGACAGTGCACTGGCACCAACACCAGCTTGTCCAACTGATTTTTAACAGCCACTCAGAGACGGTGGATATTTACCCATTGCCAGCAAATTTAACTATTGGTAAGTGGTACATGTACTGTAGCAACATTCTAGCCGGCTACGGGAACACATCAGCCTCTTTGAGGCATACATGTATGATGCACAAGAAAGGCCATAAAGGTTGTTAATTTACTGTACCACTACAGGTAGATTCCAAGTTCCCCAAATATTCTTTTGTTATTTTCAAACTGACTCCAACATTTAACTACAGAGCATTACATTTTCTTTTTCTGCTTTGTGGCTGAGGAGGATTTCTTTTTTTAAGGAAAAAAGTCTGAAATTATAAAATGGCCTGATTCCCACCTTGTGAATTCAAAGTCACAAGAACTACATGTACATATATATGGTACATGTATGTTGACATTGAACCAGTAGTTAAGTTTAAGAAAACAGTTACTTTGCACGTGCCGAGTAAAATATTGTAGCGACAGCTTAATATCCTAGCTCACAAGGGGATATTTTGGAAGTTGTATTTTTTGGGGGTGGGGTTGGGGAGAAGGGGATGAAATGCCATTGTACACTGTACCTGTACATGTATGGTTTGCACTGTGTTAAATGTACAGTAGTTACATGTATGCTCATACATGTACATGTACGTGTAGTACTGTAAACAAACCTGCATACATGTATGTACATGTACATGTACATGTGACACATGTACATGTATGTACAGTACATGTACATGTACCTTTACATGTTACACATGTAGTGACCTTCGTTTACATGTATGTAAATGCAGAAACAAGAGGTTAGGGGTTGTTGAATTAAAAGTCTGTTCTCCACAAATGTCTTGTGTGTGGTGTGGAACTCAATTTACACCGATCCAAGCTGTGTGCCTGGAAATATCGCGCCTTCCGTGTTTGAACAAGGCAGTCGGCGGGTGAGCCCGATGTCACTTGGGGCTCTTCAGACACGAAAGCTGCATCATTCGGCGAGTGAATAATACGATGCCATATGCTCCATCATTCATGGCATTTACATGTTCATGTAGAGTGTAGGGATATACATGTATACATAGGAACATGTAGCGGTATATGTTTATCCACATACATGTACTTGTATGTTGCTAGAAAATTCTTTGGAGTTGAGGGAAAAAAGATACTGGTACCAGTACATGTACGTGTACCTTCACGTAACTGCACTCTGTAATCAGTCATTGATTGAAAACAGTGAGTGGCTCGATGACATTTCCAAAAAAGGATTAAAAATTAACTGTACATGGTACATGTAGTCTTTCTTCCCCTCCAATGCAGGAAGTACAATTTGAATAATGATAATGATTTGGCACTAAGAAAACAGTAGACCCTATTCACGGGAAAGCCAGTTTCAATCTTTTTCCCTACATCTGTTTTTATAAATTGCAAACTGTTGATTAGGATGGCACTAGACTGTTTTCTGATTGCCTTACATTCTGGGCCTCCCTTTCAATATTGATCTGCATCTGGCTTTAAACACCAAAGTGCATTGTACATTGTTGTTGTTAATCACATTCAGTATTTGAAATTATTCATCAGCGTAGACAGGTTCTAAAAATTTGTCATGAAATTTCATTTTATTGACTTTCATTTCTACTCTCAGCTTTCAAAACCGAAAAACTAACCTGGCTTTCAATTTCATTTTGGCCGGCCAGTCTAGTTAGTTCTGCTTCCTATTACACGGCGTCTCAAAACAGGATAGGTACATGCATGTCTAAAGGGGAAAAAAATTGGCCTTTTTTCATGCATACTGATTCAGTGTGGAGCTAACTGTTCGCTGATTGAAGTATCAACAGCAAGATAGGTCGGGCACATATTACGTTTGAAATGGAATGAACAAAGCTTTAAAGGGTCCTGGCGTACATGTACATGTAGTTGTGTGCATAAATGCATGAACCAAAGAAGATAAAATTCCTGCCAACATGTCCAATATAAACTCACTTCCAACTTCTGAGTATGCTCGCCTAGACCCTGTTCAAGCACGGTTTGTACCCCTCCCCGACCTGATCTATAGTTGACCCAGTTGTGTCTTCTGACAACATGGACAATGGTCAATGTTTGCCAGATACCGGGAGATTGAGAATCTGTGATGACCCAATTTCTGCTGAGCAAACTCAGTTCACACCGATGCGCATGCAGTTGGTATGATTGCTCCCCTGTGCCACTGGCATCACATTTATGTCAACAACTTTGATTACCGCTTATGTACAGAATGGTAAATTTACATAGTACGTTGCTGTAGGCCTTATGAAACTGTGCATATGTACATGTACACTGCATACATGTACATGTAACAAGGATTTTTGAATTTTGTGAGATGAAAATTATCGGTATGCACTCACACATGTTCATGAGTGTGTCATGTGTGTGTACACGTGTCATGTACATCGTATGTAAGTATTGTACATGTACATATGTAAAGGTGTAGTACATGTACATGCACAATAGCCATTCATGTATGTTCTGTATGTACATATACCGGTACAGATTTGTACATGTATGTATCATGCACGTCAAGGGCAGACGTTAACATTTTAAATTTTGTGTTTACTTGTACTTCGACACGGATCATTATTTCATATTGAAATTTCCCTGGTGTTCAACTCAACTCGAGATATTTTTATGAAGTACCATCTTAAATCCTCCTAAAATCTTCCACCTTGTTGGAAACTGCCTTCATGTCAGCCTAGTATATTACTGTGTAAGTTTAGGGGGCATCAAGCCCTGTGTCAGGTACCAGCGGCGTGGTTGTACCCTCCATAACCCTTTCAATCTCACTGTAGTTGGAATGCAATACTTTTAAGTGCATTGTACATGGATTCTACACTGTACGTGTACGGTACATGGTCGGGTAACCTACACACGTGCTCTTGTGTATGTATACATCAGTATACACAAGAGCAGAAGTGGGCCCACGAAAAGGTGCACCCTTCTCGTCCTATATGTACATGTACTGCCATTTTTTCTGTAATTACATACACAACCATCACAACTTTACAAAAAAACAATTATACAATCAGTAATCGGAATTATCTTATCGCAGAGCTTTCGGTAACTGGGTACCTTCGTCAGGGCAAGCAGATTCAGTTCTCAAAATTACAATGATTCTGAACTGAATCTGCTTGCCCCAACAAAGGTACCCAGTTACCGATAGCTCGGCGATAAGTTAATTCAGAGCACTAGTTGTATAATTATATTTTTGTCAATATTCTAATCACGGTGCTTTGCAACCCTTTCAAATTTCTCATCTCAACTTTACACTTGCTATCTTCTTAATTCTTCTAGCTGACAGTGCAATGAAAAACACTTTAATCCAGAAATGTCCTCTAGGATAAAACTTGTTAGGCATTGGAAAAGTGTGAGCACAAAATGTACACGTGTTGGTATGCACATACATGTACATTGAACCTGCACTGTTTTCATGTGCACATGTATGTACATGTATGTACATAAGGGTATGTACATGTATATGTACATTTACATTGTATCATACCAGTACTATTTACATGTACATATATATTTATGAAAGCTTTACGTACGTGTACGTGGATGTACATGTATTTCCACTTGTCATATTTAGAATGGAATTGTTCTTGATTGTTAATCTTGATTGTAAGCCCATGTGCCTACTTACATTTATTTACACAGTGTACATGTAAGGCTTTCATAAATTCCAAGATGTAGTAAACATATCAGTTATTAATTTTTTTTTATTTTCCAGTCATGTCAGTTACAGGTGAACATCTCAGCTAGTACATGTTCATATGCATGTAATGTCAGTCCATACACTTCCTGAATGTGCTACTGACTTGCATATGAAATATGGCCACCCAAAACTTCTGCTTGTATCTTGTCTGTTGTGATACGTGTATGACATTGCATCAAGATATTGGTTGTCCTTTGCATTGATTAAACCCCATGTGTATTGTTGGTCTGTGATGTGTACTGTAGGTGTACAGTGCATCAGCATAGGATAAATATACGTAGACTGGATGTACATGTGTAACCTTCTCAGAGTGGACTTGATTAGTCTTCTTGGCATGGTGAAATGTTTATTGTTGTACGGTACAACAAATGACATTTATCACACTGTACATGTACATGTACGGTACTGTAGTTGGGAGGACTTGCTGGTACGTACATGTACATGTACGTGTATGTATGTACATGTACCATTGTGACGCACAATTTACGTACATGTTTTCCACTCAGCATGGCATGTACATGTACGTGCTCAGCATATTCTTGTTCATGTTCAGATGTACATGTACGTCCTATGCAGGTTTTGGGCTACAAATAAAGAACATATCTTTCATTGTACAAAACTTCTTAAAGTACTAGTACATGTACATGTATATATTACAGGAAACTGTACAGCCTGCCATATTTGTACCACTTACAGAATAATAACAGGTGTTTTTGGTGGCAAGCAAGCCATCCATCCAGTCATTAAACTTGATTAACCCTAACCATGCTGAATCCAATGAGCGTATGATTTCAGTGGTCCTTAGGGGATTAGGGTTAATGTACATGTACATTGGACACATGCCTTTTGCAAGTTTTTGCTCTTACAGTTTTTTTTTTTGGTTCCTGCACTTGGAAAACATTGACAAGATGTTTGGCTAAGGAAAGAGAATTTCTATGTAATTTAGGGGAAAATTGTTGAGACCAGTTTTCTATAGCGAGCACCGAGAGAAATGATATCGTACAAATACAGCAAAATGATTAATAACTGCAGATTTGTACATTTTCGCCAGTGTTGTTCATGATGAATTGTACCTACGAGAATACCATGAATACCAGCATTCAAATGTACCAGAGTGTTTCATTTCCTCGTTCTTATTCAGTGCAAAGTCTATAAACCATTCTGTGAATTTGATCCGATTGTCTCTTTGTTTTTCAGAAACAAAGCCATCGCAGACTACCTGCGATCTAATGGCTACGAGAATGCCCTGCACGAGTTTCAGAAGGAAGCGGACATGGTAGGTTACCATGGTTACAAGTCATGCCCATTATTGCTTGAAATCATAGTCAGTCATTTATTTGAGACCAAGTGCTGTTCATATACATCCTGTATAGTTGTGCCATTGAATTAACATTATTTAATCTCAAAGTACACAGTCCCAATCAGAGCAACCAACTCTAAAACTACATGTACATTCTGTTAGTCCACATCCCTGTGTTCCACTTGCACTGTATACTCATTATATTCCAGGAGCTTAGGGGGGAAAAATCACATTCTTGAGTGGGACTTAAATCCACAACCATTCGCTTATTGGTACAGATGTCTTAACCGCGCATCTACCTTTAAATCCATTAACCATGTTAACCTGACCTTTCTAAATCCTCTATAATAGTTGCACAAGTTTAGTATTTGGAAGGACTGAGGTGATACAGTAAAATTGTGTGACTGATTTTTATGGATGAATTGTGTGAAGGCCTTGGGCATAACCTTGACCTCTTCATTCGTACCGCATATAGATTTAGGCATATATTGTGTAGACTGCTCCATAATATTGTTCATACTGTCTCTGCTTGATATAGAATGAAGTATTTTGAAGGATTGAGGCCCTGGTTAGAATTGAGGTTGCATGCTTGTATAATGACGTAGCTAAGTTAGTGCTGTCTCAACAAGTTGATGAGAGAGTTAGCCAAGGAGTTTGAAGGATTCCAACTGTGCCCTATTTACGAGGAGGGCGTTCGGTAAATAATGGAGGATTTTGGAGGATTGAGGCAGAATCCAATTTGAGGTAGTATTCTGTCGGTTGTCATGTGGATTCCATTTTTTGTTTTGTTTTTTTTTCCCTCAGCCTGGAGATGTTGAAAGAAAGTACAATGGCCTCCTGGAGAAGAAGTGGACATCGGTCATCAGACTACAGAAGAAGGTCATGGACCTGGAGTGCAAGCTGAACGAGACAGAGAAAGAGTACACCATGGGCGGGCCAACCAATCAGAAGCGTTCGCCGACAGAATGGATACCGCGGCCCCCAGAGCGTTATGCACTGACTGGCCACCGCAGCACAATCACCAGGGTCGTGTTCCATCCCATCTACAGTGTGATGGCCACGTCCTCAGAGGACGCCACGATAAAGGTCAGTCTGCAGAAGACCTTGTACCCAGGACGTCAAAGTTCGACACTTCCATGCGCGACAACAGCAGTTGTAAAGATGAGACCTGAAATCACTGTAATAGATGCTTTATTTGTGTACAGGGGATTGCTAGCTTGAATCCCAACTTTGCTCAGATTATTTGCAATTGTGACATTTCTTTAAAGGTTGTGCGTTTCCTCTCCTGTTCATAGGTTTGGGACTACGAGACGGGAGACTTTGAACGCACACTGAAAGGTCACACAGATATAGTGCAGGATATATGCTTCGACCACACAGGGAAACTACTAGGTCAGTCCTGATGCTGAGTTTTTTTCCATTTCATCAGCTTTTCCACCTTTGAAATTGTCACCAGTGTTCGGTGTGCTAGATTTTGCATTTCATGTTGAGTCTAAGCTGTACTAATAAGCTTTGTCTGGAAGCTTTTCTAGAATCAGAATTAAAAAAAGGAAAGCACACTGTTCGTATCTTGGTAGACTGTCAGATTTTTGTAGGCCTGGGAATGTTATATAGGCCCGAGGCAGAGCGTATACTCTGCCTACTGAGTAACTCAGCCCTCGGTCTAAGTACTTTCTTGCAGAGAACCCCTGTGCCATTTCCTCCATCCCGTTCCTTTCCCGTCTTCTTTCCAGCCTCCTGCTCGGCTGACATGACCGTCAAGCTGTGGGACTTTCAGGTCTTTGAGTGCATCAAGACGATGCACGGCCATGATCACAACATCTCCTCCGTCAGCTTCATGCCCACCAGCGACTTTGTGGTGTCGGGCTCGCGGGACAAGACCATCAAGATGTGGGAGGTGGCCACAGGGTAAGGGCAAGATAGAATTGGCCGGCTTTGAGTGGTGTTATTCGGTGTTGTGGTCAATCATGAATCATTCGGTCTCACAGGGTTCAGAACAGAAGTTCTCCTAGACACTTTTGTGCAATTTTTATACTTTTCTCCAATGTGTGAAACAATCTTACGTCCTTTTTGGGTTAATTATGTTGAAAACTGCGTGATTTACAATGTTAAAAATTTTCCATGCTTTTTTAGACAACAGAGGTTGCTGTTAGTGGGATATCAATCAGAGAAGACACTGCCCTGTTGATTTTTTTTTCCGTTCAATATTGTGAACCCAAAATTTACTGATTGAAAACATTTTGAGGAAGGATGGCTCATTGATTGGCTCATTGCTGTGTATAAACAACACCGACTCACCAAAAAAGGGGAAAGTTAGAATCACAAAATGTCCTACACCTCCCTAAAAAAAATCAATGCAATATTGCAGTTTTCTCCTGGGAATGACGTCGCGGATTTGTTTATGAATATGTAAATTGATTTACAATAAAAACAAAAACATATTTAAATAAAAAGGACAAAGGAGGAAACAAAACAGCACCAAAATACCTTTAGTTAGCAAAACAGAAATCCTAATTAAGCAGCGTCACCAGCTATTGACATAATCCATTACATTTGCATTCATTTATCATTGTCCAGCCTGTTTCCATCAATGGGTCTTGTGAGAAAACTTGTGATTGGACTCCACTACTGCACTGGCTTTATTTGAACAACACTGCCCTCTCTGTTGG